TGTATACCCATTAATACAGGGTGTCTCCCTAGCTTAAATCCCAGGGCTTAACCCTGGAAGAGGTGAAGAAAAAAACTGAGAGAGAGGGAGAGAGAGAGAGGGCTGCATGTATTGAGAACAGCATTAGACTTTTGTTGGGGGAAGACCTGTGTTCAAATCCCAGCCACGAAACTCCTTGGGTCAGTCAGTATAGCTCAATTCAGCCATACTCCCTTTGCGCAACGAGCATCGTGTGAGGGGAAGAGCGCAAGGTGTGCTCACTGGCCTTCCTCCTGCCATTGTGTCTCTCGTCAGCAGCTACACCTTGGAGAAGGTCTGAATCAGAGAGGCTAGTGCAGTGTTTCCCAGACTTGGGTCTGGACCTGTTTTTGGACCAGAACTCCCATCATCCCTAGCTAGTAGGAACTGTGGGCAAGGATGATGGGAACTGTAGTACAAAAACAGCTGGAGGCCCAAGTTTGGGAAACATTGGGCTAGCTTGTGTGTAGGCTTCTGGCACAACCAAGAACCCTGATTGCCAGCGCCAGACTTTAAAAGATTCCCCAGTTATTGCTCCCTGCCCAGTGCTGTTGACGGTGCCCTTCCCATCAAAGTCCCCATGCAGTATGGCTGCTGGCTGCCAGTCACTCACTCACCAGTCACTCACATATGTGTTAACCCAGCAACACTTTTTTTATTGCCAATGAGCTGCCACTTAGCCCCGTTTTGTGGCGAGCCGCTGCCATCTTGAATTCTCCCAAGATGCAATGCCTGATGTCGATACTATACCGGATTGATAGCATGAGACAAGGATATACGCACACCAGCCTTCAAGTCTGGGCCACCCTACTCAGGCAATTGCCTGGATCACCTACCCAAACCCAATTTCTATAGGTAAAAAAAAGGTAAAAGGTAAAGAAAGGATCCCGGGACAGTTAAGTCCAATTGAAGACGACTATAGGGTTGCGGCACTCATCTCGCTTTCAGGCTGAGGGAGCCGGCGTTTGTCCACAGACAGTTTTCTGGGTCATGTGGCCAGCATGACTAAACCGCTTCTGGTGCAATCTCTAAAGTGATTGTCAGGTTTTTGCAGGCAATTAAGTATACAATCTTTCTGCAATACTTAGCTGATTTCTGTTTTTTAACCTTTCAGTCGTACGGCTTTATTTATATATAATTGTTTGTAAACCACTCTGATTATTATTTTTTAATAGATAGTGGTTTGGAAATATTTTTAATATATAAGTAAATAAATAAAATAATGTGGACTAGAATCCCCATTTCCTAGTCCATAAGAGCACATTGAAAGGTTGGAGAGAAATGCCAGCCACGTACCACCTTAAGTGTGAGAATGGTAGGGAGGATTAAAGCACATTAAATATTCAGAATCTTGACTACCGAAACCTGTAGAATAATTCAGGGAGGCAGCGGCAAAATGGTAAAAGCTATCCTTATGCTCAAGGCTGGACTGACTCCAAAAATAAACATCTCCCCCTTCTCCCCTCTCCATTAACATGCGCGGCAGTGGGCTACAAAGGAAGACCAGGAGCCTGGCAGCCACAGAACCACAACATCAATTGCTAACACAGTATCAGGGCACCTCCCAACCAATCAGTTATCCTCCCAAGCCCTGCAGCTTGGCAAAGAAACATCATTATCTTCATTTTATAAGTGAGGCACAGAGTGAGATTGACTTGGCCACATTGGAAAAATGAGTCTGCTCTAGAGTCGCAAGCAATAATAAATCAAAGACAGCCAACTCCCTCCCCCCAAAAAAACACACATACACTCGACAGAACACACTTTTCGCCCACGGAAGACTAAAATCTGGACTCCTAACTCCCTACATATTCCCCTTTCCTCACCCAAAGACATTTCCTAAGTCAAATACTAAGACAAAAAGAGACAAATGGAAGCCCCAAATCCTATTCCCTGTTCTCCCACCAACTATGCCTTAAAACTCACTTTCGGGAAATTGCAGGTGCCCACACATATATCGAAATGTGCACACTAAGGCCGATTTCTGTTTCAGAGATCCAAGATCAGACATTGCACTTCTATGGGCAAAGAAGCACTTCCCACACAGGAAAAAGCTATAGTGTATGTAGATCACCTCTCAATTGCCTATAGATAATCTCTTCTTACAGCCAGCCAACGAAGGATCCTAGACACAGGCACATTGTGTTCTAGTGTCTCTCCGAGTCAAACACAAGCACAGCCATGCCTGGTGCCCCAAGGTACGTTTCACACATTGCTCAGTGAACGCACGCTCAACAGGCAGATGCAGCCAACCACGTACCCCTGACTAGCATATGGCTGTTTGCAAACATGTCTATTGCATCCACATCTTGCAATTTAGGTGTAGACTTTTAAGCCGCTCAGAGCGTACACCATGCACCTAAATCGTAAGATGCTAAAGGAGGCTTTGGTATATAAAACTCCCTCGGTGCCACACAACCAATTAAGACTACAAAACAAAGAAATGACGAAGATTAAAGCACAGAGATAAGCAGCCAGAAACCCAATACAATCCAGCAAAACTATACCACAGAACAAAAATACAGAACATGCTGAAATGCTCAGGCAACTTGGTGGTGGTGGGGAATCTTTGCTTGGTCCTGGACTGGCTCCAATCAAGTAGGAATTATATAGACTGGGAGCCACAACCAAAAAGGTGCTATCTCCCCCTCTGGTTACCTCCCACCCACCCTGGGATGGTGGGCCTTTTGGGACCAATAGAAGCACCTTTGATGAGAGGCATAAATATGTAATGGTTGAAGAGGAACTGGGATAGCTCAGTCGGCAGAGCATGAGACTCTTAATGCCAGGGTTGTGGGTTCGAGCCCCACCTTGGGCAAAATATTCCTGCATTGCAGGGGGTTGGACTAGATGACCCTCATGGTCCCCTCCCAACCCTATGACTCTGTGACCTAGCTTGCAATGGCGGAGTGGAAGCATAGCTGGCGTCTGTCCCTGGTTCATTTGCCCACCCTTCCCTGTTCTACGTGGCGCAACCCCTGGGCAGAATCTTGGCCCCTGCATGGAGGGGGGAATGGCAAGGACTATGGGGCAGAGAGTCGCTGGCACCCATAAGGCGGCAGGCCAGCAGAGGTTTGTCAAGGGGTTTCCAGCTAGCTTGGCACCTCCAAGCCAATCCTCATCTGCTCCCTTCAGAGGATGAGGGAGTCTAGTTGGCCCCCATTTCCCTCCTCCCTCAAAGAGTGGAAATCGCTCCACCTCAATAATTAACGGCTTCTGAGATTGCCCCACAGCCAGGGGTGCCAACTTGGATAAATAATATTGGGGAGGTGGCAGGTAAACCCGCCCTGTGTAATCAAGCACACGATGGGGTGCATCCACACCGTTTGAATGGCAATGCCCATCAACTTTAGGGCAATGCCCATCAGTTTTATAGGGGAGGGCCCACAGCACCTCCCCAAGAATCCAGGCTGCTACTTCCTTCGAAGGAGACCCGGCTCGCTCCAAACCTACCCTCTCCCATCCCTTCCAGAGGAGGCCCAGGAATCCCAAGCTACGCTGCCACTCCGCCCCCTCGACTGCCCTGAAGTCACGACACCCCCACCGCCTCCCGGCTTTTTAACCCGCCCCTTCCTCCTTCCAGGCAAACAAACAAGCAAAAAGCGCGGGCGGGCTCCCCCCCCTCTCCTCCATCGCAAGTCCCGAGTGCCCGACGCCGGCCCAGCCCGGACGGAGCCACGTCCACCTTACGAGGGCAACGCGCCCCCGCCGCCGCCCCCGCTGCTGCTGCTGCCCAACCTGCCCGGCTGCCCTCCCCGCTCGCGCAGAAAGCCGCAGCCGCAGGTCGCTTCCCAAGGTCAGCGGGGAAGAAGCCCAGAGCTGCTTCCCGGCCAGGACTGCTGCCAGCCGGCCCGCAGCTCCTCGCCTTCCCGGGCTACTCCCTCGACCCTCCGCGACGGAGGAAAGCCAGAGCTCTGCTGGGAAGCCCCGACGACGAGGCCAGCTTGGCGCCAAAAGGGGGACAGCAGGTGGGTGGGTGGGTGGCGGGCAGAGGTGGCAGCGGCGTCTGCCCCCCGCTCTTTGCGCAAGGGCAAGACTTCGCCTGAGCTCGGGCACCTGTTTACAAACACGAGGCTCGCCCCGAGGCCATGGTGCCTCGGAGCATGTGCAGAAAGTGTCTCTCTCTCTCTCTCTCCAACGGGCACCGTTCTCCTCCCGCCTAAGCATGTCCCCCCGAAGAAAGCAGCCTCCTGACGAGGGACGTTCCTTGCGCGCCGACCCCCTGCCTTTCTCCTAAGCCAGCCCGGGGCGGGGGGGAGCGTCCCTCCCTTTCTCCCGGCCGTCCCCCTCCCCTCCAACCGGGCTCGTTATCCCGTCTGGAACTCTTGGGCATTTGCAGCCCTGGCCTGGCCCGCCTTTGCGGCCGCGGACATCCCTGCTGCCTCCCGCGCCCGTCCCCGGAGCAGCGGGGGCGCTCACCTGGGGCCGACGGCTCGTATCTCAGCGGCGGCGAAGGCGCAAGCCCGGCTGCGGCATCTCCGTGCGGCTGCCCAGGAGCTGCTGCTCGCCATCATCCCCCTCAGCAGCACTGCCGCTTCGCCTCCTCCTCCTCCCCCCAGCGCCACCCTCCAGCTCGGCGGGCTCCGCTGCTTTCTCTCCCAGCCTGTGCAGCCGGCGACGGGCTCGTGGCCGCGCCGCGCGCCGCTGCCTGCCTGCACATCTGGGGAGCTGCGCGAGAGAGAGCGCAAAACATTAAAAAGCAAGCGCGCGCGCGCGCAAAAACCTCCTTCGAACCTGGGCGCGCCGTCGCCGCAGAGAGCCTCGCGCCTCTCTTGCCAACAGCCGACAGCTCCCACGGTCCGGGCTGGATGGCGCGCAGCGGCGCGAGGGAAGGAGGGGCTTGGCACGTGCTGCTGCTGCTGCTGCTCCTCCTCGCCAGCTCCCGCCCTCTCCGCGCAGCCACAGGGCGAGGGAGGGCCCAAGGGCGCTGCCCCGCCGCCCTCTCCATCTGCAGGGTGCGCTCGCGGATATATGAAACTGACCCCGTTCTTTCGCCCTGGACAGGTAGAGGTGGCCATTCTTAGTGCTGCTCTGTGGGGCGCTTGGCCGCAGACCCGCGAGCGGCCCTCTAAGGCCTTCTCTTCCGGTAGGGAGCGAGAGGAAGTGTGACCCCCTCGAGCAACTCAGCAGAAAAGCCCCCGCTCTTCTTCCGCCGAAGCAATTCAGCGCTGCGCCCTAGAAGGAGTGGAGAGCTCCGAAGCTCCTCCCCGGGCTTAACTTGGGCCGCTTAACTTGTCTACCTCACAGGGTGGTTGAGAACCTGGTCTGGAACTCCTTGGAGAAGTGGCGGGCTGTACATGCAATACATGCCTATATAAAATTGCTAGGCCAGGGTACGAATTTGTGTGGCTTTGCGGAGATCACCACCAGCTTGCAACCCTATTCGGAATACAGTGGTACCTCGGGTTACATATGCTTCAGGTTACAGACTCCGCTAACCCAGAAATAGTACCTCGGGTTAAGAACTTTGCTTCAGGATGAGAACAGAAATCGTGCTCCGGCAGCAGCAGGACGCCCCATTAGCTAAAGTGGTGCTTCAGGTTAAGAACAGTTTCAGGTTAAGAACAGACCTCTGGAACGAATTAAGTACTTAACCTGTATTGATTTGGGAGAGCCAGCAGCTATGGCAATGGCTCTCCTCCCCAAAAGGGTATGGGAGAGTGTGATGCCAACGTTCAATACCAAGACTGAGGTCTACCTAGCCTGCGTTTTGAGCATGCTGCTTTATGGAAGCGAGTTGTGAGCAACTTACAGCTGCCAGGAGCAACGCCACAATGCCTTCCACATGTGCTATGTAAGGAGGGTTTTGGGCATCGCATGGGTGGTTTCAAACAAAGACGCACTTTTCCAAGCCTACCTTCCCAGCATGTTTGCTCTCCTGTCGTAGCGACATCTACACAGGCTTGGCCTTGTCCACAGAATGGACAATGGCAGGATCCCCAAGGACTTGCTCTGTGGGGAGCTGGCTTCAGGCACCAGGCCTGTTGGCAGTCCAACTCTGCATTACAAAGATGTCAGCAAACATGGCGTGAAGGCTGGCAACATCTACCCCACCCTGTGGGGATCTCTTGCAGATGACCGCAGGTCAAGCAGTGACCAGAGGAGGAAGGATTCCTGGGGAGAAGCACAGAGAGAAGAAACACCATGGTGCATCTGCAAGAGCACAACCGGACGCCTTCATCTGCCCCAGCTGCAACAAAACATGTCTCTCCCATATTGGCCTCTACAGCCACAGCAGCCACTGCAACCTTTGAACAGTTTGACTTCATCCGCAAAGGCGCATTCCTCCATTGTCCCCTGAGACAGACAGATGCCAACAACTCAATGCTTTGCGATGCTGCGGTGAGTGAACAACCTCGTTCATGTCCCAGAATGGCTTCTGGCACCTTATTACGTTCATGGGAGAATTGCATGCTTGGAGTGTTAGGAACTTCAGGTCCAGCGGACCCAGACTTAGCTCCCCAAGAGTCTCCCCACCACTGGCACCGTTGCCCAAGAGGGAAGGTGACCCTCAGGCTGCAGAACAGCTCCCCACCTTCCTTCTGCATCACAATTTGAAAGGTATTGCAGCTTCCTTCTTCCCTCCCCTCCACCTAGCACCAGAATAGGGTGCTGATCAAAGCTTTGGGTGTGAGATGAAACCGCTGTTTTGGAGACAAAGAAACAGGGCCAGTGAGAGGGAGACAGGGCCGGCCCACCCTTGAGGCATGGCGAGGCTACTTCCTCAGGCGGCAGGTTCCGCAGGGGCAGCAGATCCTGCCTCCAGATAATGCATCACCCTTTGCTGCGGCGGCAGCGGCGGCGGCTGCCGCAGTGGCAGAAACAGCTGCAGCACACTCCTTCGAGGCTGGATCTGCCAGCCCTGGAGGGAGATCTGTGAGCTGGGGTGTCTGCAGACCTCATGTAAGACAGTGGATCTGCTGCCAGGAAAGCATGCACAGAGGGTCATATGAAGCTGCCTTATACCGAGTTCAGACCATTGGCCCATCTGACTCAGTATTGTCAACACTGACTGGCAGCAGCTCTCCAGGCTTTCAGGCAGTCGTCTCCCCTACCCCAGAATGGGGTCCTGAATTGGGTAACTGTGCCCCTGAAGGACCAGGTGCACAGCCTGGGAGTCATTTTGGACTCGCAGCTGTCCATGGAGGCGCAGGTCAATTCTGTGTCCAGGGCAGCTGTTTATCAACTCCATCTGGTATGCAGGCTGAGACCCTATCTGCCCGCAGACTGTCTTGCCAGAGTGGTGCATGCTGTAGTTATCTCCCACTTGGACTACTGCAATGCGCTCTATATGGGGCTACCTTTGAAGGTGACCCGGAAACTACAGCTGATCCAGAATGCGGCAGCTTGACAGGTAACTGGGAGCGGCCGCCGAGACCACATAACACCGTTCTTGAAAGACCTACACTGGCTCCCAGTATGTTTACGAGCACAATTCAAAGTGTTGGTGCTGACCTTTAAAGCCCTAAACGGCTTCGGTCTAGTATACCTGAAGGAGCGTCTCCACCTCCTTCGTTCAGCCCGGACACTGAGGTCCAGTGCCGAGGGCCTTCTGTCGGTTCCCTCTCTGCGAGAAGCCAGGGAACAAGGAACCAGGCAGAGGGCCTTCTCGATAGTGGCACCTGCCCTGTGGAACACCCTCCCACCAGATGTCAAAGAGAAAAACAACTACCAGACTTTTAGAAGACATCTGAAGACAGCCCTGTTTAGGGAAGCTTTTAATGTTTAATAGGTTATTCTATTTTAATATTCCTCTGGAAGCCGCCCAGAGTGGCTGGAGAAACCCAGCCAGATGAGTGGGGTATCAATAAATTATTATTATTATTATTATTATTATTACTACTACTACTACTACTACTACTACTAACTGGAGATGCCAGGGATTGAACCTGGGACCTTCTGCATGCAAGGCATGTGCCCTGTCAGCTGAGCTGCAGCCCTTGCCATGTACCTTACCTCCCCGCCCCCCCCCACATCATGCTCTGCTTGTGTATATTTTTAAATAGAGCAAATATTGAAAGAACACCGTGAGTGATCTCCAGTGTTCTCTCCTCGAACCCAAATAGCGCTGCTCCCGAATTTCTCACGGTTCAGAGGAGCGGAAGGAGCTTAGGCTTATAAAAGCCCCCAAACTGGTTTAAAAATACATCTGCTGGAAGTTTTTGTCTTGGGTTTTAATCTCTGCCATGATGAATTCGGTTGGTGGCTTTAGGATGACAGGGTTGCCTAAGGGCCCCCCCCAAGCCCCCGTCTGTGAAAACGGGGAAAGAATAATACTCACCTGACACAGCTGTCATAAAGATTACGAGATAATGCATTTGAAGGGCTTTGAACACTTGAAAACCCTTATACAAAGGCCGCTTCCGATTAATAAATATGCAGTGCAATATTTATTACAATGTAATGGGTAAATATGTATTTGAATATAAATTTCCATTCGTCTGTGTCATGTTACGGCACTTAAAATGTAAGCAATCTTTACTGGAAGGATACGCTTATTAGGCACCGTCAGTGCCTTGTGGGGCCTGTAAATCAACTTTATGTTGGAGCTGGAATTCAGGAACTGGGGTGCAGGTTTAGGAGCGTCACAGATCAGGGGTGCACAGTGGGAGAGCACAGGGTCCAGAGGGGTAAAGATCCAGTGCTTTCATAAGGTTGCGGATGGTACGCCATCCCTGCTGATCCGAAGGTAGGCGGTTCGAATCCCCGCGATGGGGTGAGCTCCCATTGCTCGGTCCCTGCTCCTGCCAACCCAGCAGTTCGAAAGCACGTCAAAGTGCAAGTAGATAAATAGGCGGGAAGGTAAACGGTGTTTCCGTGTGCTACTCTGGTTCGCCAGAAGTGGCTTAGTCATGCTGGCCACATGACCCGGAAGCTGTACGCCGGCTCCCTCGGCCAATAAAGCAAGATGAGCGCTGCAACCCCAGAGTTGGTCACAACTGGACCTAATGGTCAACGGTCCTTTACCTTTACCTTTTAACTGTGCTAGTGTGGTGTGGTGGTTCAAGCGCTGGACTGGGGCCTGGGAAAACAGGGTTCGAATCCCCGCTCAACCACGAAGCTCGCTTATCGGGCCAGCCACTACCGCTTAGCCTAGCCTACCTCCGAAGGTTGTTGCGAGGATAAAATTGGGGGACGCGGGAAAACTTGTCTGCCACCTTGAGTTCTTTGGAGGAAAGGCAGGAGGAGATACATGTATAAGTAACAAAAAATCCTAGCATCTATATCAGGGGTCAGCAAACTTTTTCAGCAGGGGGCAGGTCCACCGTCCCGCAGACCATGTGGTGGGCCGGACTATATTTTGAAAACCAATAATGAACGAATTCCTATGCCCCACAAATAACCCAGAGATGCATTTTAAATAAAAGCACACATTCTACTCATGTAAAAACGCCAGGCAGGCCCCACAGATAACCCAGAGATGCATTTTAAATAAAAGGACACCTTCTACCCATGTAAAAACATGCTGATTCCCGGACCATCTGCGGGCCGGATTGAGAAGGCGATTGGGCCGCATCCAGCCCCCGGGCCTTAGTTTGCCTACCCCTGATCTATATATAGTGGTACCTCGGGTTAAGTACTTAATTCGTTCCGGAGGTCCATTCTTAACCTGAAACTTTTCTTAACCTGAAGCACCACTTTAGCTAATGGGGCCTCCTGCTGCTGCCGTTCCACCAGAGCACGATTTCTGTTCTCATCCTGAAGCAAAGTTCTCAACCCGAGGTAATATTTCTGGGTTAGCAGAGTCTGTAACCTGAAGCGTCTGTAACCTGAAGTGTATGTAACCCAAGGTACCACTGTATTACCATTTATCCCAGTATATGTAGCCATGTATGTAGGCTGAGTCAAATTACTAGTCTGTCTAGCCCAGTATTGTCTACACTGGCTGGCAGCAGCTCCCCATGGTTTCAGGACGTTTATGGTCCCAATTCTACCTGGAGATGCTGGGGATCGAACAGTCAAGCAGATGCTCTATGACTGATCTTTCTCCCTTCCCCTGCAAGTGTCCATGTGCCCCTGTGTGTACCCCAGTATAACACAAAGCTCACTAAATGACCTTCAGCTTAACCTATGTTACAGAATTGGTATGATAAAGTGGGGAAGAACCAGGTTCTGGGGTCTTTGGAGGAAGAATGAGATTAAATGTCATGAATAATCCTTACTGCCTTCCCAGCAAGCCTCTGGGATAATCACACCGTAGCAAGCAATTGCAGGTAGCCGTCTCAGTCCATGAGAACAAAACAATCCAACAGGAAAGCAAAACCCTCTTTTTAATAATTAGAAACGGCTAAAAAGTCACAGTGAAAGTGATTGAATTCTTGGCCAGCAAGATCTTGTTCAATCTCCCATCCCTTTGGATTGCTAATTTTTGCCTGATTAACTCTAAAGTTAATATCCTTTCCATTCCACTGAGAGCGAGCTGCTGGTGATTAGCAGCGCCGCAACAAGCCTT